CCCAGTACGGCCCTCGCGCTTGGTTAATAAGATATATATCTTCGAGTCTCTTGATCAAACGACCTCGCAGTATGCCGCTAGAAGGCCCTAAAAATATGTTCCTCCCAGAATGACGTGCAAAGGGAGCATAGGCAAAACTTATGGTTACACATGTAGAAAAGCACTCCGGAAGTCACCATGAAGTAAGTCGCGCGAAAAAAATGTCCAATAAAGTCTCTAAGATGTTGTCTACACAGATGGGACCTATGGGATGGGAAGTATTTGCGCAGCCTCCCATGTCCTCCCTACTCTCCCCTTTCTTCCCCTCTCCCCCCTCCCCTATTATATATTGTGCTTTCAAAGTTGATTTATGTAGTGTTTTCGAGGTTCTGTACATAGATCAGGTGAGATCCCTTCTTGCTTACTATATCTGCACGGTTTGTGAGTGTCGCAGTTGAATTGTTCGATATTTATCGGAATCCAATCGCGTGTTCTTGCCAGGTTGTCGAGGCTCTGGCCACAGTGATTAAGAAAGAAAAGGAAGAAGACATGGAAAATAAAGGTGAGTTAAAATTCGTCAAATGCGGACCGGGTCATTTTTCAAGGAGCTTCGTCTTTCAGATTTCTTCGGACAGTAGTTTGCAGTGGAAAAGAATTTCTCAGATTTTGTTTCTCAGTTTCAGATTCCATAATTTTGAACTCGACATCGGAGTTTTGCCGAACACTCGGGGAGATACCTACCTTCAGTAAGTAAAGATGAACTCGTTTTGTACGACTTAGAGTAACTTTCGATTGAGAGTTGAATGAAATCAAGGATTGCAATGGTTTTTCTAAGAGTGCATATCGATTGAGTGTCGTCGAACTGAAACCAAAGTGATCAAAGCGGCCAATCAGAAGAAAGAAAATACCCTTAACAGCCAATGAGAACTCCAAGTAAAAATAAGAAAACTACAAAAAGAGCGAGAAAACGCGGGAGACCAACCGTGGTTGGTCTTAGTTTTGCACCTGATTGGTTGAGGGAGTGGCGCGAGTTTTCTGGACCAATCGCAAAACGCGGGAGACCAAGCCGTGATCGGTCTTAGTTTTGCACCTGATTGATGGGGAGAGTGGCGCGAGTTTTCTGGACCAATCAAAGAGCGGAGTAAAGCAAAACCAATGCAGTCTCGGTTAACTTTTGACACTCAACTGGAAAAACTCTAAATTCAAAGCAAGGCTAGGTTTCTAAGGAAGATAAACACCAAAGGGACGTAAATAAATCCAAAGAGAAAAAATATGGGTGTGAAAATGTTTCATTGCTTTGAAGGTGCACCTGGTGAAGAAGCAGAAGAAGAAGAGGAGGACGATACTGAGGTAGGAAATGCTTAGAAATTCAGTTGAATGTTTCTTCTCGTCCATTGTCTCCTTTAAAGAACGTGGGTTTAACTAAAGAAGAGTTTACCATTCTTTACTCTGCAGTGGCGAATGGATGTCGAGAGAGATGAAGAAGCTGACCCGCAGGGAGGATGGGAATGGGTGAAAACACAAGAAGAAAAAAGGAAAAAAGAACGAGAAGAGGTTTGTGGAAGAGCAACTCGCTGAAGTTTTCTTCGATAAATATATATTTTCTAGTTTATATTTCTCAGCGTTCCTACTTGCTGATACTTGTTGAATAATACGAGCGGAAAGTTCCTCTTTTTTCCCGTGCTTTTCACAAGTGGAATGATTTCCCACATCTAGCACCGTTGACAATAGTGGCACCGCACCGAACGTAATTTTTCCCGCCTTTTCTAACCCTTTAACACCCATGAGTGACCAAGACAGAATTTCTCCTTACAATATCAATACAATATCAAGCAGAAAATATTTTCCTTTCTTCTGATTGGCTGTTGTGTTTACTTTGCTTTCGGTGTTACAAAACTCTATCGAAATGCGTCAGATAGAATTATAATTTTCTTTTGTCTACAGGAGACGGAAAATAATATTCTTGATGCGGAACCCTTGGTCGGGATAGGCGTTGGCGCAGCTTTGTTCCTTGCTTCAAAGAAAGGTAAATAGCTTGCTGTTTGCTGTCCGTTTAGTATGATGTTTTATGTTTTATTTCTTGAATTTCCATCATTATCTTTTGCCTCAACTTCGCTAAGGTTTACTGGAACAGAATTCCAAAGCAAGAGTTGAAGGGAAAACTTTGCCATTTCTTCCCTCTGTTGGTGTTGTGGACGAAGAAAAAATGCGGTAAGAAGAGAAGTTGTTATGTATCCTTATTTATTATCCAACTACACTCTGTGGATTAGAAATAACGCCCAAGACGAGCACAATTATCACGTGGTATTTGTACTCCAAGGAACCTGTTAGACAGGTTTTCTCGCATCGCGCAAGCGACGAGTTGGATTGAACTTCCAAATAAACAATGGCGGACGATTTAAATCATTTTTCTGACGACGAAGAGTCGGAATGGCTGGCGAATATTGATCCAAGTTTATTACAAGGAAATTTCATCATTTATTGAAGAACGCGCCAATTCCGTTCCGCTTCGCATACTTCTTTCGCGCACTCCCCGTAAATTAATATCCGCGAAATTTATCCCCACTGAAATAACAATTTGGCGTGCTAAATAATGAATATCTTATTAAACGTTTTTGTTGTGTAGTATCGCTAAGTGTATTTGCTCGTTATTTGTATTTTGACTCGCCCAACAGGCTCGTCAAAATACGGCACAACTCGTAAAATTACTCAGCGATACGACACAACAAAACGTCTAATAAGATACATGTATCAGTTTGCATATTCTCCATACTGTTCTCTATACATTTCTTTTGTTACTGACCAGGAGAATTTGTTTGATAATCAAGGGCTTCTTGCTTTCAGGAGTGACATTGTTGAGTAAAATGAGACTCTTATCACTCTTAGAGTTTAAAGGGTGAAACAGAAGTTCAGCAGTTGTCAAATTTTAGATAAGCAATGAGGATGTTTCCTGTCGTTTTAAACGAAAAAAATGCCATTTGAGAACGGTGTTGAAGTAGATGCTAAGATGACTTTGTGGAGCAGTATTTGTTTTTCCAGCCTTACTGTTACGATGTTTACAATTGAGAGCTTAAAGTCATATTCGTGTAAAGCGCTTCGACCACAATAATAAGGACTGTTTTCCAAACTCGACCAATATTTTTACATTCTCAGCCACGAAGTCGTTTAAATCACGTGAACTAAACGTCACCAATGCATAGGAACGAAATACTTAGAAATAAAATAAAAAATACTAAAAAAAATAAACCAAGCAAAATGTCAATGTCCAATTGCGATTGTAGGCATTACACGGTAACTCCGGCTTTCTATTTCTTGCTCTTGTAACAATTTTCTTTTCGCTGATTGGCGTTCTTTAGTGATATTGTTGATTGAAATAAACCTAATTGATGTTTTTTTCGCACCGATCTGCTCATTGCAGCGAAGAGGAGAGAGAACGCGGAGGTCGATCGTCGAGGTAAATAGTTTTTCCTTTTTTTTTTTATTCCTTGATAGTCTCGTGTGTTGAGCTTAACATAGCGTTAATGAAGTAGAATTCTACCCAGGTTCAGCATCATTACCCTGAATTGTTAGTAATGGCAGATCTTGGGGAGGGGCACGGGGAACCCAGGCCCCTTTCTTATTTTGTAAAAAAAAAAAAATAAATAAACGCAGAGGGAAGAAAAGCCGGTAGATGAACACACACAAGCAAAGACGCCCCCCACCCCCACCCCTTCCCCGCGTTTAGCACAAGGTCTGGCTGCGCCACTGGTTTCGTTATTTATTATTTTACTTTTATCTACTATGGCCAACTTTTATTTTCAGTATGCCTGCCATACATTTTATATGATTTAAGGCCTGAGAAATTAATTGTTGAATCAAAGAACATCTCTTAATTGATATTTTCTTGTACTGCTATTGTGAGGAGAATTTCCTGTTTGGTCACTGTTGAGAGTGACAGGGTCAGCCCTTTACCATCTAACATCAGTATGGAGATGCTCCATGCAATCCCTTCCGTATTTTATGGCTCTGACAAGGACAATTTGCCGAACAATCAAGAGCCTCTTTAGTTGGTGATCATTTCCTTTATTCTCCTGACCTTAATGTTTGATTCAGGGGTGATATTGTAAGGAGAAATTAGATGCTGGTCACTCTTACGGGGTTAAGGGATGAAAACCTTTTGGATTAAATGCTAAAGGAGGATCTTTTTCTTAGGGATATTGACAGAGACCGCGATAGAGACAGGTAAATTCTCTCGACCCTTTTCTGTATATTCCTCCGATGTTACCTGTGAGAATTTAGAGATTCATCACCACTGGCGTTATGTTCATTTTACAACGAGATAGCACACGAGTGGCTTTGTACCACATATCATTTCTTTTTCCTAGACATGGTGGGAGCTCATCAAAGAATAAGCAAGAATACAAACCAGACGTAAAGCTGGAATACTATGATGATAATGGTCGACCTTTGACACCCAAAGAGGTGAGATGTATTCGTAAACCTTCGTTGGTTAGCGCTGTTTTTTTGAGCATGGCATTTCTTGGTTTTATTATTGGCTTACGCAGCTAATTGATGGGACAATTTTGCCTATTACACTCTGACCAAACATTGCGAAGTTTTTTTACCCATCTACGAATCAAATGCAAGGGGCGATCCCGCTTTTTTCGCGCTCACTGTGGATTATATTCTTTTCCCGCGTTTTTCGTTCAAAACATGCTTTCCCGCGTTCGCAAGAAATCCCGTGGCCTGCTTTAAAGGTCTTTGTCTTTCTTTGGTAGTTGTTCTGATTGTTGCCACTTTCTTCTTGTAGGCTTTCCGTTTTATGTCACACAAGTTCCACGGGAAGGCCTCAGGAAAAATGAAGACAGAGAAGAGGGTGAAAAAACAACAGGACGAGATGGTAAGCCGAGAAAAAGTTACTTTTGACCATAAAAATGGGGCCGCTCTCCGTCAGCGTCGTGTTCTTGGGCAAGACACTGTCGCTGTGCCTCCTTAAAAGGCACCAACCCTATTGGGTCTACGACTTAATTTAGTCATACCCAACATTTCATATTTTCAGAGTTGATACTTTTAGGAATGAACGGGATGCGCTGGAGAGAATGGCTATTTAGTTATTGATAGTAAAACAATTAATCATGTTTGTTGTATCCATTCTTATTCGCTCTTTGATGTTTTATTTCCCTTAATGGTCTTCTTCCAGTTATGTAGAATTTTGGAGCTTGGGCATGTGTGATGTATGGGTAGATTCTCTGAACTAGTCTTACAAGCAATACATGAGAAACATTTATGAGAATTTACACCCAATGCTACTTGTAACGCTTCATGTTTTCAGGCCCTTCAAAAGATGAACTCTGGTGACACGCCACTCAACACCGCAGCTCTTCTGATAGAGAAACAGAAAAATGCGCAGTCACCTTTCGTTATTCTTAGTGGCGGAGGACAAACTTTCTCTACCGGGTGGGTAACATTTCTCTCGTGAAAGGGCCAAAATATTTAATATCACCCCAGGGAGGATAGTTGGCCAAGCTCCTGTGATGTAATACGTAACAGCATATAAGTAGAGAAATGGCTGGGAATGTTTCAGCGGGCTTCGAGAAGTCTTTTTTAACGCGAGAGAAAAATCTAGATGATATATTGGCAAGGTAGAAAAACCGCAGAATAGAATGAATTGAACAAAAAGAAACGGGAGTTTTCTCAGAATAAAGGAGATTGGCATGGAATGCGAACGACCAACGTGACTGACAGATTTCTTGTACTGAGCGTTTCATTCGTCACCAACATAGCAAAACAGTTCCCGATGTATTTTTTCAAAAACCAATTTATTCCTTATGTACTTTAATGTCTCACCTTGATAGGTTCTGAGAATCA